AACATGTACTGTATTAACGTTATTGTCCTTATATTATGTAACATAAAAAATACGGTAATAGTAGAGAAACATATCCAAGTAAAATATGGTAAGAAAAATACTAGCCAATGTATTTTACTATAGATTGATAAAACATGAACTGTTGAAAGTTCCCCCAAAATAATGCAGTAATATATATAAGCATCATAAAATACTAGCAAGATTTTTTTTATTCATACTACCGGTACATAATAAACACATGTTTACTACACTTATCTGATTGACATGTTGGAGAGCATATTACTAATGTCTGGTTCTCATTATCAGCAGTATAAATGTCTTCATTTATTTCTACCTCTAAAAATGTTTTATTGCAGCCAAATATTACTTGAAAATTGCACTTGGACTTAGTTGACATTTCACAGACCTTGATAAGATCACTAAAATTGAAGATAATTAGATAACTGTTTGAGTAATTGTAACCCGAAAAAACGTTTTATGACAAAGTCAACACCACCAAGAACAGACATTCCCCCTTATATACCTTGACCATCTACACTGATACAGACAAGTTAAAAATGATCACCAGTTATCAAAATTTTAAATTTGATCTAAAAAACAAAATGATGTATATCAAGGTCTCAATGTATTCCTGTTTCAGATATTGATGAATTTTTAGCAAAAAAATGGTCGATCTTGAATCAGTCTATGAAACGACTGGTCATGCACATTTCCCAAAATATGTGATGTACGAGTTGGAATATGATCAGTCCGCATATTCAAGATACAAGTCTGAATGCACACAAACAAAAAGTTCATAATTGTTTGAATAAAAAAAAATAGCATGTACCTGTAAAACCCCATAAACATGCAGTCACAGTACACTTGTCTGTGTTTCCATGTGTATTGGCATTAAAGTTTGATCAAAATTGCCTTAGTCGTCTCTTGGAATCTGGATGTGTGATGTTCAAATAAAGTTGGGGAACATCATGTATTACTAACATTTTGGAATACATTTCTAAAAATAAAACGGCAGAGAAACCAGATATTCAGGATGAACGCTAACAAGACTGGGTGTTTATCACACTGATAATTATCTAACTTTGTGAGGATATAAATGCCGAGGTATTTATTAATACTTGTATAATAACATTTTCTATGTTTAATAATACATGTACTATATTAATCTCAAGGTTCCTCACAGAATACAATAACATGAATTGCATAAAAGTTGACAAATAGTGCGAGAAAAACAAAATCCAAAAATTTGATAGAAAAAATACTTGACAATTTGTTGATTTATTGTAACCACAAGATGACAACAATTTTCAGTTACATTTTTATAAATATATTTGAAAAATAAACAAGCGAACAATACCATAATGAAAATTGGGCAAGATTTCGTACTGACTACTGGTTGGACAAAATTTGCTCGAGTTATTGTAATCATGAGAAACATTTTACAAAAGACGCAATGAAAACAAGGATACATTTTCTTGCTCACATATCTACATCTAATGATACGGGCAAGGTAAGGCAATAAAACCAAAAAATCATCCTTAAATAGAGGATCAATTTATTTCAGTTAAATAGCAATGCTAACACAACAAATCATAGATTTGCGAGTCTATAGATCTGCTTATGTCCATATGCAAGATTTATAGTGGTACTTTGGTAATTTCTGGTACATTTGGTATCATTAAAGTTAATTTTGGATACTTAGATTTTATCAACACAGAATATCTATGGTTCCTTCCATATAGTTGCACCCACAAAGCTACAAAATTGTCACTATTGTCTCCTATCACACGATAGCAATTAATATCAATCGATGTGATCTGTTTTGTTTTCCCTGTGTTAATGTCGCTAGACCACACATAACTAGTGGCAGCCATATTTCAGGTCCAACGAGGACTATGCTACGTCATAGAATAGCATCACAGAAGTAGAATTTCTCTTGTAAAGTAATGTGCCTGCAAGTTAAGACATAAAACAGGGGAAAATTACCACAAACCAATCATTTTTGCAAAGTTTTTGCACTGGTGAGTGTTTAATAAACATTATGAATTGATGAAAATGTTGTGCATTAATTGATTTATATTTGTGATACAGATTTGTGGATGTCTAGTGAGAGGAACCTTCTTCTGTGTGAATAAAATCCTAATCCTAAAAGACAAAAAACACGTAAAAGCTAGATCTATGGATCCATACTACCGGTATTCATAGTTGTACAGAGATTTCTCAATCCATAGGTCTGATAATAATCTGTAACACAAGATTATCATTGACTAATAATGCTGAATCTCCCAACAATTCATCAATAGAAACCTTCTTGTCTATTTCTGAATCAGCCGAGTATCGAGTTTTGGAGAAGTTCTTTCTACCTGTCACAGTTTTCAAAATTGTGGAATTATCCACAATAGACAGCATAAATTCAATGGGCCTTACTTGATCCATAATAAGATTTGAATAGAGAACAGCACGGAAATCATCATTACTAGAGGAGAATCCCTTTGGATGTATTTTCAGCTCCCAATCCCAACTAGATGAGGGGAATGTAGATGAACGAGTGCTGAATCGTGGCATGATTTCAGAACAACGAGACAACTGAGAATAGTTTTGAATAACAAATCGTTTGTCCCAGCGCAATTCAGTATAATTTCGAAGAAGAAAACTAGAACTATTGAACTCTTTGGTGTTTGCTCTGTTTTCTAGAGAAAGAGAATGATATTTATAACTCATCATGAGGTGTGGAACAAACAGAGCTGGCAACTCTTTAGCAATTTTACTCTTTTCAACTGCACACAATTGATGAGGGAACATCATTGGAAACCGAACATACTGCAACAATTCACGCAATAATGCCTCTTTATTTTGCTGTCGTTCTGGGTATCTGCTACATTCTAACCATTTCTCAAGGGCAAGAAATATAGAAAATTCATCCCTAATTGTTAATTCAGAACTCTTCATAATCTCTATTAGTTGGTCTTTCTCCAATTGTAACCATTCAGGTTGCCATTCAGGCATCAGCATGATGTCATCAGCTTTGGCAGACAAGGCCATCACACAGCTACTAATCAGTTTCTTATGGTAACACTTTGTAGCATACTGGAACCATACATGAAACACATCTTTCAATTGTAACTTTGGTATAATAAAGGTAGCTGCATAGTCAATGCAGACATTGCGTAGGTCAGTGACATTGTATTTATCAGCCAGTATAAGCACAGGTAAAGTGTTATCAATGTTCAGCACGATGTGACAACTGTATAGAAACTTCAAAAAATGAGAAAATATGTGCACACACTCTGGATCTTCAACTAATTCTACTTCCTGAAAGTAAAAAAAACAAAACAAATACTTATTAAAAGAACATATTTTCTATACAAGACAGCCATGAAAACGTGTTCAAAATTCACCAAATACTTCAATCAGAGAATTCTTATCAGATATTGTATTATGCAAATAGCATACATGTATATATACCAAATTCCATTTGAAATATTTTATCATAATAAACATTTATGAAAGCAAAAGCTCATATTTGCACCCAAAATGTTTTTCAGATTATGCAATTGTGTACAAATTATAAAACTGATTTGAGTCATACAGACAACAAGATGACAGATCCATATGACAAGTTAAACTTAGCTTGGGTTTTTATTTTACTTACTCCCTTGTTTGGATCACTCCAATCAGAGCTGAACATTCTTTCAAAGACTTCACTTGATCGTACTAGTACCAGTTTATGTGAATGATAAATCTTAGTTCCAACTTTGAGTCTGATGTCACTCAGCAGAGTGTTGTTGAAGAACTTACATTGTTCTAAAAGTGCATTTCGTTCATTTCCATAGCAGTCAACCCCTTCTGATGTACAGCTACCAAAGGAACCTGTAACGTTACCAAATGAACCTGCACAGCTACCACTACTACAGGGTGTGGATGGCTGAATGCATTTACAGCTACCAGCTTGAGGATTGCTTTCATTAACAGCTACATCCTGGGCTGGTTCTTCCTGTACAGCACCATTTGCTACTGCACCAACTGCAGGATGAGGGACCTCCATCAAAGATATCAGCTGCATTTATTAAAAAAGAAAACACAAAGTACTTACAGTATGGGTGTTCATATATTTATGTGAGTAGTATTGACATGAAAAATTGGTTCAGGTATGTTCTAGAAATTTGTGAGGTACATTTTCAGTGCAGGCAGCACACAGCAAAAGTAGACAATATATTAGACACCAATATAGAAAGCTGTTTTTTTTTCCATATTGAGGTAAAAATAAAACACTTTGTATGACATTACATTAGGTTACCTATGGTTGTTTAAAAATGTACATTCAATTCAAATGAGACAAAAATTCACCAAAATTGTCCACTACCCTCTGTATGCGACACTGATTGGCTGACACAAATTATATTCATTGGTACTTAAGTGACAGTTGCTGTGATTGGTCGGATGCTAAGTGATAGTTGCTGTGATTGGTCGGATGCTTTACAATTGCAATTCTGAGTTCCTAGATATTCTTCAAACATTTTTAAATTATTGGTAACCACATTAATTGGTACTTTGAAATGAGTGTGTGATATGAAAATAGAGGAAGAATTAATTTTGTTGTTGTAAATACGACCTTCCCTCAAAATGCATTAATCCACAATTAAAAATTAACTCCTCAAATGTTAGCCATCCAATATGTCTGCCATATTTACGTGTAGTATGACCCCTCAAAATTCAACCATACATATAAATTATTTCGTTTAAACACGACATAATATCCCCGTTTCCGAAAAACAAAAACATGGCCTTGAATACATTGTATTATGAATAATTAAATAAAAGTATATATGTTGTTAGTGTACCAGGTTTTTTTTCTAGAAAAAATGAACAAGGGGGAGCACACACAAGCGAGGGAGCGGAACGTGTACCACTGGAATTAAAAATAATATAAATGATGTCGGACGTCGGAACCGTGACTCAAATATAGGTTTCAGTTTCGGACTTCGTCTGACGTGAATTAAAAACCAATTCTTTAATTGTTACCATACACAGACAGCGGAAGACGTTGGGGTCGTGTGTAGACTGGAACGACCCATTGTAGTACCGTACATGTTATTTTTAATTCATTTTATGATGAAGCACGTACATTTTGTAACAACAATTTTTTCCTTACCTTACAATGCCAGAAAATATCTCTTTGGACTTTTCAGCGCAGCCCGTTTATTTTTCTTTCTCTTCGGATTTCTATTCTGAATATCTAGTCGACATAACATCAGTATCATCGACTAATAAATCTGCATATATCTTGGATATTTATGTTCTGTAATGAATCAGCTCCACCATTTTAATTTTCAAGAATCAAGTTGACCTGACTTGACCCAGCGAATTACATCCGGTAACAAGAACCACGAAGGGATCTCATGCGGTAGAAATAAATGTGAAATATATAAACTAATAACCATCATGTCCTTGTAATTATATATTTTAAAAAGTCAGGCAACAAAACTGTTCAAATTTAATTTAAAAGTAAACAGAATCACTTAACCTGGTTCCAGTTTCTAGAGACACTCTAGAGAATCCTCTAGAGGTCGCTATAGCTATTGCCGACAGCGACCTCTAGAGGCGGGAACCTCGAGAACCAGCTGAGCACTTGATACAAGATGGCAATGCGTGTATGTGTTTATCGGAATATGGGTCAACACGTGAGTGTGGCAGTTGGAAAAAATGACATATGTGCTGCAGGCAGCCGTTTCTGTGGACGGATAAGCAGGTGGAACCACACAAATCCGTGGAAGGATGGAATAGGTATGGGAGATATCGATATTCAAATCGGAGACAAGTAAGGCATTTCTACAATCATTTATTAAAATATATATAGCAGTTTATTTATTCGATTACTCTCAGTGCAATAAAGGGATTTTTTTCATCATTATAAATATTTATAAATTTCACAATTCAAACTGAACGAGAGGTTCCTATCGGTCTATTGAATATCATTGGTACGTTTTCAAATGACATCACTGCATGCTGTGGTCGTTGATTGCCTGGTTGCATTGACATACTATTTAAATTTATAATTTTTTTTAAGATGATGGGAATGCATTTGATTCACTGAGAGTAACATAGAAGTGAAAGAACCAAAGAACGCCAAATCGCTGGCGGGATGGGGGGGGGGGGGTCCAACTCAGGAAATATTTGGTACTGATTACTGTATTATACTTTATTTTCACTTGGATTTTATTTTCGCTGATGTGTTGATTCAGTGAAAATAAATCCAGTGAATATACCCTTTTTCTTATATTTAACATTTAGTGTATCAAAAATAATTAAAAATAAATTCCATACAAAACACCCACAAAATTAAATTGGTTTCAAGGAAAATTACTAACAGTACGACTACATGTATATGTGGGCCCAGATAACAATCATGTAGTGTGAGAAAGAATGACGCAAAGTGTTACCCCATTACACGGTGTATTGGTCACATACATGTAGTACCCATACACAAATCAGGTGATACATGTACCAATGACCCATCAAATTACAGAGGGATAACAGTGTCTAGTATGGTGGGTAAAAGTGTACCTGTTACAGCTTTTTTTGATAATTAGGAAATCAAACCAAATTCCTAATGATTTTTGTATTTTACCCCAAAAAAGTGGTAATTCTGAATGCCTAAATACATACATTATTTCACCAACCCAAAAATGATAAAAAAAAAAAAATTTCCATTCTTTTTTTGTACTTTTATTAGTTTGTCAGTTACTGTAAAATACTTTATTTTAGCTGGAATTAATTTTCGCTGAAAAGACTTTTTGGGTGTTTTGTGTGGATTTTATTTTCACTTGATCATTCCTTCAGCGAAAATAAATTCCAAGCGAAAATAAAGTATTCTACAGTACCATAACTAACATTTAGAACAAAGCAAGACATAATGGTGTCATATGCATGCTAGTTGGTTTTGTGTGTCCTCAAAACCAACAGCATTTAACAACAGACAAAGACTGTCATTGACACCCATTCATACATACGGTAGTACACTGAACTATGAGTGGGCAGGGAAAATATCAAGAGAACAATGTTGATAATATTCTTAATCTTCTTCCACAGACCTTTAAAACTATCCACTGGTAAGCTTGCAAGGTTTGCAGATGGTTGTGCCATAGCACAGGTAAGACTCTTATCCTGCAAGCTCCATGTACTTTTACATTGACATGATCAGATAAGGTTAACCTTGAACTTAACTTAGTCCTTGAAAACAGGGATTCACATGTATTGATTATGCATCACCCTGTTATATATGGTATACAAGCAGTGCTGTTTTTGGTCGCTTGAGTTTATCAGCAATGCATTCCTGGAAAACACAAGACATTCGCCTGTGAAGACTTTTTAAAACTTGCACTGTGTGTCAATCAAAGCATGGTTTACTAGTACTTCCAAATGCTACATTCCAATATTTGTAGGATAAGCACAATTCGAATTTCATCCAATTTTACAATTATCATCAATAGTGTTCTCTATTAGCTACTTTGTACCCTGGAAGTCTCTTTACTTGTACAATTTACATTGTATTAAGTACAGACATAAACTCAGTTTTCTTTTGCATCATCTGTTGGATTTGTCCATTAGTGATGTTTAGTTCTTTTTCAAATTTCAGCCATCGATCACATGCATATTTTTACGATTATGCAAAAACTGCTTTTGAAGTGAATCATTTTCTAACTTTGTTGTATGTGCAATTTATTGCAGATATTTTACTTTACAAACATTAGCAATGCTTGAGGTCTTTTTGTTTTTAGACATTCGTTGCTAAACATATAGAATCAGGTTTTTCTGTATATGTTTCGGTTTCTTTTTTTGATTTCTTTAATTTCTTTTGGGCATTGGAGTATACAGCAGGAAATGTTTTCATTTAAACCATTTTCTTCATCATTCTCCAGTGAAAATTATGCCAGATTGATTTCATTTTTCTTACTTCACTTGTGATCGTCTAGGTTTGAACACTGTATAAGAGTTGGCTGCGTACACATGCTTCAAGTATTCCTGTTTGGGTGGATATCAGGAATCAAATCAGGAATCAAATCAAATAAGAGTAATGTGATCCAGCATTTGGGAATTGTTTCAGTATCTCGTGTTCACTGCAAGGTGAAACAAAATCCAGCTATATATTAAAAATGACAGGTGCTTCAATACCGCCTTCCCTACAATCAGAAAAAACATTGAAGAGTCGTTTTGAACCTTTGAATGCTGCTGATGTTCCTGTATAGATTGCTTTCAGAATGGTGACCAGAATAGGGGATGCTGTGCATATTTCAAGAATTTTGAATAATATATCGTGGTATATCCATGTCATATACTTCTTTTTCACACATTAATTGAGATGCAAATTTATTTCCATACCCATAACTCATGTATTTTTCAAAGCAATTTTATCTCTCACAGGATTAAACAGTTGCATTTCTCAAAGTAACACATATTAACTGATGACTACTAGATAGCATGAGACGGCGATGTGAACGCTACCTAACATTACATATCTATTATACAGATAGGAGAAACATCAGTAATGGTCACAGCTATAAGTAAAACTACTCCATCAGCATCTTCATCTTTTCTTCCTCTCACTGTAAGTATATAAAGTTATATGTTTCTAATGTATAAAATAATGTACTGTATGTAGATTACTGTAATGTAGATTACCAAAACATTGGATTAATTATCCCACAGTATCAATTCTCCAGTCATTAAAATTAAATCAAGGAAAATGTCCCTTTAAATTTGAACCACATTTTTGCAGTTAAATCTGTGACAATTTGTCATGGGTGTCATTGTTCATTTCAAAATCAATCTTCTTCTTTGGGATGTATGGTGTTTAGTTCATAAGTGATCGTTTTGAAAAACAACCAACAAAGACTGTCTTTCAGCGATTGATCTGACCACCTAGTAGTCCACTGGTTTGATCACTTAGCAGTCTATTTGATGCAATGGCTTGAAAACATAATTTCCTATCTACAGAAGTTGTATAGCATTTAGTTTTCTATTGCAGGTTGATTTCAGACAGAAAGCTGCAGCAGCTGGGCGAATCCCAATGAATCATTTAAGAAGAGAAAGAGGACCAACAGATTTTGAAATATTAACAAGTAGAGTGATTGGTAAGAATGTCTAATTGTTTTTGATCTTGCTTCCATGTATGCAGTGTCTACTAAAATGTGTATATATAAAGTCATTTTGAGAAGCTGTTTATTTTATTAAAACTGCTTCACAATTAATTAGACCCCTAAATTGTCAAGATTTTGTTTAAATTCTGTACGAAGACAACTCATACAATAGGTACCGGTGTGTTTTCTTCAGTTGATTTTAAATATGGGTTCTATTTGGTGCATCCTCTCTGGATATGTTTTTTTTCTGGATATGGGTTTTTTGTTGATTGCCATTGTTATTTTCTCAAACACAAGAAAACTACATTTATACATGTCATAAAATTTCCCAGACACGTTTGGTGTTAACCTGCAACTCAACTAAACCCACAGAGGGCACTCTATATTGTAGAATGAGAAAAGGAAATTTAGCATACACACATATATATCTTGTATGCAAATTTCCAATTAAAGACAATAATTTGACATGCTGAATTGTTCAAACAAGCGTTCCCATTTGCACAAGGATACTATATCAGATGGCTACAATATTTATACCTAGTCTGGAAAATGTACAGTCTGTGACTGATTGATTTACATTGTCAGAAGTTGTGTAAACAAACATGTACAGTGCCAAAAACTACATGCCTTATGCTGGCCATCTTGAAACAGACTAAAAATGAACGGACATGCATATATACATGCATCCCAAGATGTATGTAGAATGAGTAAAATTTTAATATTACATTCCTGGAATGTCTGAGATACATGCAAAGAAAATACACACACATGCACAGAGGTCAATCCATAAGTACCCATTAAACACTGATAAACACTTGTACTAGGGCATGTAATGATTTAGTGTGCATTGTGTGACTTATTTTTGTCTTCTTTGCAGATAGATCAATTCGTCCTTTGTTTCCACAGGGATATGTTTTTGATAGCCAGGTAAGATATAACAAACATATTGATATGGGTTCTATTTGATCCATCATCTCTGGATATGGGTTCTATTTGGTCCATCATTTCTGGATATGGGTTCCATTTGGTCCATCATCTCTGGATATGGGTTCTATTTGGT